CGCTTCCCGCGCCCGCCCGCACCGGATCCCCCCCCGTGTCCCACCCGCGTCCCACCTCGTGTCCCTTCGTGTCCTCCTCGCCTGTCACCTGACGCGGGGACGCGGGGCGGGGGGACAACACGGAGAGAGGGGATTGTCCCGTTCTGCTGGTGCGGCCTCACCTTGAGTCCTGCGTGCAGTTTTAGGCGCCACAATATAAGAAAGATAACGAGGTGTTAGAGAGCGTCCAAAGGAGGGCAGCGGACATGGTGAAGGGCCTTGAGTGGAAACCTTAGGAGGAGCGGTTGAGGTTATTTGGTGTGTTCAGCTTGGAGGAGACGAGACTGAGGGGAGACCTCATCGTAGTCTAAAACTTCCTCGTGAGGGGAAGCAGAGGGGCAGCTCCGATCTCTGCTCTCTGAGACCAGTGACAGAACCTGAGGGAATGGCTGGAACTGTGTCCGGGGAGGTTTAGGGTGGCGATCAGGGAAGGGATTTTTCCCCCCAGAGGATGCTGGGGCAGTGACCAGGGTCACCAGGGAATGGTCACGGCCCCAAGGCTGCCAGAGCTCCAGGAGCGCTTGGACAGGACTCTCAGGCACAGAGTGGGATTGTTGAGGAGTTCCGTGCAGGGCCAGGAATTGGACTCGATGGTCCTTGAGGATCTGTTCTGTGATTCTGTGACCTCCCTGGGGTCTTTATTCTGGTGACTCCTCAGGGCTGCCCAGAGGGGCTCGGGCTGGAGAGAGGGGGAGGAAGGTGGGACAAAGGCGGCACCAGAGCCTCCCCTTGCCCTCCATGTTCCCCCGCAGGGCTGCCCTCCTGGGCATCCCCTCTGCTGTCCTCTGCTCACTTCCGGGCAGGAAAATCCCGGTTTTAAGCGTTCCAGGGGATTTTGTGGCTTCAAACCGAAAACCTGACACAGGTCTGGTTCTTCTGACATGCTTTGAGAATTATAGCAAGGCTTGGGTTGGAAAAGGACCTTAGAGATCTTCCAGTTGCACTCAGTATTATTCTGCTTGAGAGCTGTACCCTGGTGACATTGAAATTATCAGGTTGCAGACTTGGGCATGATAGAACTCGAAGTAGCAAAAACCAAATTAAAAAATCCTTGTCTGGTTCTTCCAGTGCAAGTTTTGGCACAGAGTTTGCCCATCAGGACTGGTCACCCTGTTTGAAACTGGGAACAAGAACCACTTGTCCCGTGCTGCTTGCCCTGCTTTGTAAGCTGCTTATTTACTGCATGTTCTTAATTTGTAAATCCTAAAAATACAGGAGGCAGGATAAGTGATTGGAATATCACTTTGGAATGGTTTGGGATGGAAGGACCCTTAGAGATGATCCAATTCCAACACACATTGAATGAGGCCTGTTTAAATATGTAGGTTTTGCTCTGGAAGTGTTTTTATTTGCTCCTGGGCCTTAATCACTGTCTGATGCATTAGGAGAGACCTGATCAGATCTGACTTCCTGAGCTGTAGGTGAGTGCCATGCTCCAGGTTATTCCATGGAATATAATCAGTTCCCCTTCTGAGCATCCTTGGCTGTCCCAGAGTTTTTTCCCAGGCTGTGCTCCTGAGCTGTAATCAGATAGGGAAGGATTGGGGGTTAATCAGAGAGGGAAATTTTCTTTATTCTCTTCCCCTAATAGTGCTCAGAAGGAAGGGTGAGAGCGTAGAACAAACTCAGCCCTTGGAAGGAAGCTCTGGTTGTGAGAGGCAAGTCTGGATGGGAACTTATTAATTTAGCTGCTTTTCTAGGCAGAGATTTTCAGAGAAAACACCTAAAAAAACACCTTGCAGGTGTGTTGGCATGGGTAGAGAAGGGACCTTGTGGGTGTTGTTTGAATTAATTAGTACTTGGGGCTGGTTTGGATGAAGTGCTGATCTTGATCCTTCTGTCCTGCAGCTGATGGGAGCTTTGCTGAGGTGTTGATCACAGCTATTAATCAAACCCCAGATTATTTATGTAGGCAAAGAGTTTGTGCTTTTGGTGAGTTTTGGTGGTTTTAAAATACCTGTACATGCTTTTTTACTAATCCTGAGTTGATTTGCTTGTTCCAGCAGTGTGTTTGTAGCAACAAAGAATAAATTAGGAACTAGAATTCTTCCAGGAAGTAGTGAGGCGGAACACTTGGTTAAAACTTCTTATACAGCTGCAACTTCTGAGGAATCATTATCCAACCTTCTGCTCCTGAGGTGATCCCTGTGGGGAATGGCGCTGTGCCTGTCAGGATCTCACTGCTCTTGGTGGACAGACTCACCTGCCCAAAAAACAGGCCGGTGGTTTGTGCTTTCACCTGGCTGTGCTGGAGTGACTTTGCATTCCAGTGGGGATGGACCGTAGTGTCCTCCAGTCTGTAGATTTGGAACTTTATGGAGGTATGGGGTTTGGGGTGGTGACAACAGACGTGAGCTAAAAACATTGAAGAGCATGAGGGGAGACTCAGCAGGGTCTGCAGCTTCTTCCCAAGAGGCAATCTCTGCCCTCTGGGATGAAGGGCAGGAGCTGAGGGAACAGCTGGAGCTGTGTCTGGAGAGGTTCAGGCTGGGTATCAGGGAAAAGTTCTTTCCCCCGAGGGTGCTGGCACTGCCCAGGCTCCCCAGGGAATGATCCCAGCCCCGAGGCTGCCAGAGCTCCAGGAGTGTTTGGACAGCGCTCTCAGGGATGCTCAGGGTGGGATTGTTGCAGGGTCTCTGCAGGGCTGGGAGTTGGACTCCATGCTTATGGATCCCTTCCAACTCAGGATGTTCTATGAATTTTATATGTTTCTATGAATTTAATAATTGCCAGCCCATAAACTGTTAGGGCCAAAAGCTTTTTGGGATGGAGCGTGGGTGAGACCTTGGGAAAGGGCTGGTGATGCAGCTGAGCTTGGGAGCAGGAGTACTCACACACCCATCCTGCCTCACAGCTGTCCTGTACATCTGCACATCTGGATTTTTGTAAACCCTGGCCCTGCTCAGTGTCTTCAAACCACGGAGTATCCCAAGGCAGAGGATTCCTGTTTTTTTGTGTTCCACAGCGTGTGTATAAACCAGGGCTGTGGATTTCCATATAGCTGCTGGAACTGGCCTCGAGCAAGCCAGCTTTGCTGTTTCAGGCCATGTAGGGTGACTACAAATAATTCATGGTGGAATTGGAAGGTTTCAGTGACCTGCCTCCTTGCAGACAGCTTGGTGTTCTCAGAACACAGGATGGTACTTTTACAAGCATGTAAAACAGATGAATCTTGTATACCAAGCTATCAAATTTAGTTAAAAACATCCCAAAACAAGCCATAAACTCAAATGTGGTTGGTCAAGAAAATGTCCCTAACCACACATCAAAACTTAATTGTGAATACAGCAGTAGATCAGCTGGTTTTACTTTGTTATTAGGAAATTAGAGTTACTTACTTTCCCCAAAAATAACAGCACAGCAGAAGGGTTTGTGTCCTGTGTGTGGAGAGGGAAGGTGGTCAAGGGACAGTTGTGGCAGCCACCAGGATGGTGAGGCCACTGGGGCAAAGCCTGGCTGGTCACAAAACACGACCTGTTGCTGTGAACTGGTTGCTGTTGAGCAAGGCCCTGAGCCCGTGCCAGGAGCCAGCTCACTGCCAAAGGGAGCTGGGGGCACTTTTCCAATCCTTGAGGGAAACTTCGTCATCTTGAACATGCCCACAGAAAACAGGCCTGCTCCGAGAGAGGGCAGGGGAGGAGTGCCGGGTCCTGCCCCTGCTGCTGTCGGGGAGGGCAGGGGAGGAGTGCCGGGTCCGGCCCGTGCTGCTCTCGGGGAGGGCAGGGGAGGAGTGCCGGGTCTGGCCCGTGCTGCTCTCCGGGAGGGCTGACACGTCCTTTTGCATTAGGGTAAGGCAGCAGAGGCAGCCGCTGTCTGCTGTGACACTGAGGGCTGTCTCTGCCGTCGTTGTCACCAGCTCAGTTGTTTGCTGGCTGCTCAAGGAGATGCTTTGATCAGCGCTTAACAGTTGGTCTGTTTTTGTGAAAGACAAGACTCGTGTCACGTCTCAGCTTGTAACTTAGGAACAGAATTAGCCTCAATGGAACAAGGCTCTTAGGTGCTGTGTAGTATTGAATTTTGTCACTTTGGCTGGTGCAGAAGGGTCGTGACATGATGTTCTATCACAGAGAAGTGAATCAAAGTGGAAAGGGACAGGCTGGTTTTGTCAGTGAGCTGTCCTGCTCCACAGGAACTTCCAGTTGCAAGGCTTTCACTTCCCTGGTAGTCCCAGTGCACCTGCAGCTCTTACTGAGGATGACTGGGCTCTCCCTGCCGTTACCTGCTACTGAAAAGAGCAGGTGAAAGGAAGTTTAATTTTTTTTTTATTAGGAGAAATTCAACATTGCCCATGTAAGTGCGGATGCAGGAATTCTCACCGCCCTCAGCTGTACTTGAGTATAGGTAAAGGCAAGTAGAAGACAAAGCAGAAGGTGTTTTTTCTCTTTGAGGTCCAGTGGAAAACTGGGGGCTCCCCCCAAAAATAAACTATCCTAGTGCTTGTCTGTGCAGAGCCATAGAACCATTAACAGCAGAGTTTTTCACAGAATCACACAATTTCTTGAGCTGGAAGGGATCCCCAAGGATCATCAAAGCCCAGCACAGACCCCCCAACAATCCCACCCTGTCCCTGAGAGCGCTGTCCAAACGCTCCTGGAGCTCTGGCAGCCTTGGGGCCAGGCCCATTCCCTGGGGAGCCTGGGCAGTGCCAGCACCCTTGGGGGGAAGAACTTTTCCCTGAGATCCATCCCAAGCCCTGGCACGGCTCCAGCTGTTCCCTGGGTCCTGCCTCTCCTCCCAGAGAGCAGAGCTTGATGCTGCTCCTCAGGAGGAAGCTGTGAGGGGTTTTTTTGGTACTGACAAGCTCAGAGTGTTTGAGGTGGCTGTAACCAGCCTTTGATTACTGAGTAAATGACTGCTGGAACTTTTGTCACACCCAGGAGTTGATAAAGAGCTGCAGATCCGGCAGCCTGGCATGGAGCTCCTGTAGCACCTGCCCAGGTCCTTGGGCATGCTGAGACAGGAAACCCTGCAGGTTTGGGTGCTCTTTGCAGAGGAAGAGTTGAATCAGTTTTAAGCAGTTTAGTTTGGGGTTTAGCCATGACTTTCTCACCTCCTCGGCGCTATCTCGAAACTGGGTTGTACCATGGTTTCACAACTGCTGCTGGATTAGTGCTGCTCTGTTATTTAGTACCTGCTGCACAGGTTTGGCTTCTGTCTCAGGCCTCAGCTTGGCACTTCTACTTTTGCTTTCACCCCACGAGAAGGTGCTGGCAGCCAAGTGAGTGTTTTGTGGTGAGTGAGGGAGCAGCAGAGAGCAGGGATGGAGGAAGGGTTTAGTTTAATCAGCAGCTTGGAGTGCAGCACCAGCTTTGTGGGGCATGCTGGAGGGCCTGGTACCCCCAAACTTGTCCAGAAGAGCTGAGCTGTGCCTTAAATAAGATGGAGCATCTGCTGTTGCCCCTAAACCTGCCCTGTGCTTTGCTTGCAGAAAGCTGTTCGTGGGTGGCCTGGACTGGAGCACGACACAAGGTGAGCAATGTGTGCTGCAGGCATTGGGCCATGGTGAAAACCCAGCCAGGAGATTTGAACAGGCATTGCTGTGGTGAGGAGATTGGGCTGAGAGCCTCCTCCTCCTCCTCTGCTAATTAATAAAACTTTCTGTAGAGACAGCTCAGATATGTAGTCATATCTATTTTTTAAAAATATATTAATACTTTTAGGTTTATATTGTTTGGTGCTGAAGTTTTTGTCAGCTCAACAGACAACCCTTTTTAGAATCACTTTCCTACTATTTTCCATTTTTATGACTGGAAATAAACTGTTGTCTGCCATTTGTTTACAGAAAGTAACGTGATCATTTTCAAAAGATGAGTTTGGAGTTGTTTTCCATGTTTGCTGATCTGTTTTCTCATAATTGCAAACAGAGTCTGATGTTGTTAATATCTGGTTCTTTTTAATACTTGCTTTTTTTTTCTTGAACAGAAACCCTTCGTAACTACTTCTCCCAGTATGGAGAAGTCGTAGACTGTGTAATAATGAAAGACAAAACAACAAATCAATCTCGAGGATTTGGATTTGTCAAATTTAAAGATCCCAACTGTGTGGGAACAGTGCTGGCCAACAGACCTCATACGTTAGATGGCCGAAATGTAAGTTACTTTTGTGTTGTTATTTTTTTTCCTGCACCAGATTCAAAGATTTGCTTTAAATTCTTGCTCCTTATTTGCAGAGTGTCAAAGTTAACCTGGTTGTTGGTTTAAATGATTAATTGTAAGGCAGCTCTAACTCTGTGGCTTGTGTTGACTTGAGCTCTGAGGAGCTGCATGTCAGCAGGGCTGGGTCCAGCTGCCACAGACGTGACTTTTAGAGCAAAATTCTGCATGCTGAGGTCTGACCAAACTGGAACTTCTTCCAGATTGATCCAAAGCCATGCACACCTCGGGGGATGCAGCCAGAGCGGACACGGCCGAAGGAAGGATGGGTAAGGAAAGATCCCTGCCTGTTGTCTGAATTCTCTGGAATTCCTTTGGATTGTATCCATGTCTTAAAGATAGAAGTCTGTATGCAGAACTCAAGTGTAAATTTAATTTCTAAGAAATGTCTTTAATTCAGATTTCCACGGGCAGGCCCTGTGCAGAGCAGTGTCAGTTTGGGTGTGGTGTTTCCTAAGCTCTTAGTGATGCTTTTACTGGAGTTCTTCAGCTTCAAGAGCAGTGTCTGGAAGGGCACTGTCAGGGCTGATGCTGTTCCAGCCCACTCCACACCCTGCAGCTTCACCAGATTGCAGTTTAGAATGAGTCAGTGGCCTCAGAACACAGGCCCTGGATTCCTGGTCCTCTGAAGAACAGGGGACACTGAACCTCTGAGCTTGGAATGTGCTTCCCTTTCATGCCTGGGAGACTTCAAGGCTGGAACTCTCCTCTCAGCCTGCCAGAGCCCATTGTTCATGGTTCATTGTAAAATGATAGAAGCAGCCACCCTTATTATCCTTCTGACTGAATTTTTTCCTCCTTGATTTAGCAGAAAGGATCCAGGAGCGATAACAATAAATCCAATAAAATTTTTGTTGGTGGGATTCCTCATAACTGTGGCGAGACAGAGCTCAGGGAATACTTCAAGAAGTTCGGAGTGGTGAGTCCTGGGGGGGAAGGTGCCTCCCCTCCCTGCTGCCTCCTCTCACATTTCCTCAAGCTGTCAATTCTGGGGGTAATTTGGACAGATTGCTGGAGGGGCACCTGAAGCATTTTGTGAGAAACTGTAGTGAACATTCATCATCTGGAAATGTCCCTTGGCAGAACCTGCTGCTTGTGTGGAATTTACTTTGCTGCTTCTGACTCCTCATGTTTATGTGTACCTGATGCATTATTCTGTCCCTTCTTCCAAAAACTCCTGAGGTGGCTTAAAAATGATTCCTTTTATTATTAATATTTCCACCTCCACCCCCTTTCTCTTGATGACTTTCAGCTGGGCAATTAAAACTGTCTGCTGATTATTTTTTGGGAACAGTGAGTCTCTTAATGGGCTGAATTTTAAGATCCTGGTGTTTGCCTATGTGTACAGACAGGTTTAATTTGGATCTCATGCCATTAATTTGGGAGCAGTAGCTGCTTTCAAACCATCTCATCTGGAACTTAGTTCTGGTCTCCCTAGAACCTCCATTCTGAGACAAACTGCTCCTCACGCACCTTCTTCAATTCAGTTTGTAACCTTGGACTGAAATTATTGTATCTTCTGTATTACTTTTTTATTTAGCTTTAATTCCCATTGATCCCAGATCTCACTACCCATTTAATACAATAAACTACTGAATTAAATAATTCAGCTGTGAACAAGTTTGAGGAAGTTAAAGATTGCCTGAGTTAAATTCAGGACTGTGCTGGTGAAAATGAACTTAGCTGGCATTTAGTGTAGTTTTTGATACTTTTCTCAACAACCTTTTTCTAACATTTCTTACTGTCAGCAAAGGATTTATTGAGAAACAAGTTCTTCAGTTTATCAAGAGCTAAATCAGTGTTTAAAATTCCATTGAGATAATTTATTTAAAAACACAAAAAGCAACAGCTAACAACTGTTTCTTTAGCTTGAAAGGCTGCAGTAGACTTAATAATAAAAGCAGGGAGCACTTTCCACAGCTGTGGGAAGTTTCTAAAGGCTCTTCCTCACAGACTTGGCTTTCCAGCTGTGACCTGGATGCTGGGGAGATGTAGGGTATGTCCTGCAGATGTAGAAGGCAGCAGCCACAACTGGAAGTGCCCTTAAAAGTAAGTAGTAGCACTTTGCTCATAGTATGGAAATCAGAAAATCTTCCTGGAGTTGTAACAAGTCCCTTCGGAGCAATAGAGTCTCACAAATATTTTGTGGCCACCAGAGTGAAGAGCCCAAGGCAGGCACTGATTTTTAGCCTGGGTAATTGCTGGGTCATTAAGGCCAGGGTGAAGAAGATCCAAATGGAGCAGTGGAGGGACAAATCTGGCATTGATTGTCCCATGGCATAATCCCCACATGGATCCCCCAGCCCCAGCTGGGAGCATCCAGTAGGATGTGCTCAAGTGAGTGCAGCAGCTCAAAGCCAAATGTTTTCTAGCTGTAAGTAAAGATAAAATTGTGTCAGGTTTTAAACTCATTTTTACTCATGAGTAAAAATATCCTAGGATTGTCTTGAAGATGCAATTCTGCAAAATCACACCCATTTTGTGACCATTTTCTGCATCTGAGAGATTTCAGAGCAGTTCCCTTCAGCTGTTTCAATGTTGATATAAACATTACACCTCAGGTTTTATTTAAATTGCAGCTTATTGTGGTGTTCATTCTGAGAAGAATAATCCTGAAGCCCTTGAACAGCTTGCAGTTTCCATTTTTTCTTTTTTTAGGTTAAAATCACACCGATACTGCTCATCCAGAACTTAGAGGGGTTTTGTAAAGCTGTTTAAAGCATTGGTGAACTCGTGCTCTGGGCCTCTCTGGTGCTGCAGTAATTCAATCAGAGGAGCCCTGCATGTTCCTAATGTTGCCTGCAGCTCAAGCTGCTTTTCATGGTGAAAATGAAAATGGTTAAAAATGGGAAGAAAACCATGTTTTAAAAAGCTACACTGATGAGTTGCTGGTAAACAAAGCTTTGGGGTGTGTAATAGGCCATAGAGTGGGTACAAACAGTGCAAAGCCTCAATGTTAAATTAAAATGTTAACTGTGATGAGACAATAGAGATGAAGTCAGGCTTTCTAAACTCCCAGGAAGAGCAATATTCCCTGGTTTTGTGCTGTTGCTGGGATGATGGCTGCAGTTGGATTGTGCTTTGTGAGTAGAGAGCAGGAATCAGCCGGTGGTGACTGTTCCAGCCCTCCCCTGGTAGCACAGGGAGTAGAATTTCCCTTCTCTCTTCCAGGTCACTGAAGTTGTAATGATCTATGACGCAGAGAAACAGAGGCCCCGAGGTAAAGGCTGATCTAGTTTGTCCTTGAAATTTCTTCATACTCTCCTATAGTCAGATGGCAAACTATTTCACACCATCAGAAAAGGTAGATTTTTTTTTTCCCTCTGTTGCCTCAGGAAAAAGAATAATTCACTGGGCAAACATCACTTCAAGTCTAGACTCTTCATCTCTAGCTTCACTTGGGTCTGTGCATTTCAACTCAGATGTTTCATGCTCATTGATGGGTTGGGGGTTTTTTTTATAGTTGAATGAAATTTGATTCTCGAGCCACTCCTGTGGCTTAAGGTACTTTTGAGGGGGGAAAAAATAAGCAGATTTTCCTCCTGTTCCACATGAAAGGTACGTTGGGTCTGCAAGTGCATGTGGGGTGCTCCAGCCAGAGCACGAGACAGGACAGAATCCATCCATCACCTGCTTTTTGTTTTGGTTAAATGGCTTCACCTCAAATTAAAGAAAAACTCTTCTTAAACAAAATAATTCTGAACTATATGTATATGTATATTTTTAATTGGGATACACAATCCCTATATACCAGATTGATTTTTAAGTGAGGAGGGGAAAAAAAGCCCCCAAAACCTGAAAGATTCACTAGATAGTGAATCAAGCTGGGAACCTTTGGTCAAAATATGAAGCAAGTTCCATGTCACCCACGTCCCTTTGCATCCACCATCTGTTTGCCAAGGAAGAGGCAATATTTTGGCACGTGAAGCTTAGCTGTGCTCCCACCCTGTAGCATGTTGGACATGCTAGAGAATAGTTTGCCATCTGAACTTTTCATTTCTCTTCTGCCTCATTATTAAGAAATATATCCTTCACTTCATATTTATTAAGCTGTTAAGTCTTAGTTTTATTTTTAATTTAGACATACATCCTTAGTGACATATTTAAGTGTTTCATAGTAAAGTATGGTAATGTTAAGTAAGTTCTTTTTTTTGTTTCTTTTCTCTTTGTGAATTGTTTGACTGTGATTAACGATATCTCTTTAGATTTCTTCTCTCTAGGTGATAATTTATCACAGAGGTACAGGCCAGTTCCGCAGTCAGAGGAGGGACGGGCTTTGTCTTTTATTGGAGTGTAAACGAAGTTTCAATATATTTGTTTTTTTGTTTTCTTGCTTTAGCTATCCTAATCTTCTTCCAACAGATACCTTTGATTTAAACAGCACATAAATTCACCTGTTTCAATGCTCTAGAGCAGCTGGTTTTGGATAGAGGAGACAAAGACACTGGCATCCGAATGTGATTTGGGGCTGAAGTTCTGAAATATTGCACTAATTATTGTATCATCTCTATCTTTGCAATATTTAATCCCAGCCTTGCAGCCTCTGTGCAAAAGGTACTTAAACATCATGCCTGGTCTGGATTAATCCTGTCTCAATTAATGGCTTCTCTGCTTCAAGCTGTACTAAAAACAAAACAGGCAAAGGAGGGCTTGGGGTGCAAAGCACAAGTGCCAGGTGTGGGAAAGGTCTTGTCTCCACCCACAGAAAACTTCCTCCCCTAATTCATCAGACTTCTTAAGCACTTCTTGAATCCTGTCCCTCTGCCTTTCCTTTCTGTGCTGTTCCAGGCTTTTTTTAGTGTGCTGACTAACAGTCATCTCCCAAAATGGCCTTGGCAGTCCCTGGGGGGTGCTAGGAAAAATTCCTCGAGTTTGTATTGGGTATTCCTGGTTGTGCATCCCAGAACACATTTTCTCTTGCCTTCTCTCTGTGCTCTGTGTTTTCTTGCTGCTCTGTCCCCTTACCCTTTTAATAACTGTAGATAAAATTCCACAGGCCAATCTCTCCTCAGACCCTTCTGAATTTTGCCTTTTCCCATTCACTTTACCCTTCCTTTGGAAGTGCATGTTGGTTTACTGGTAGGAGGAGGGAAGATGATCCCTGTTCCTAATCCCTGTAGCATCCCTTTGCCTCCAGCTCCTCAGGAGGCACCAAATTCTCAGGTGATGTCCTTGAGGAGCTGACTGGGGTCAGGTATCCACGTGATCTTTGCTTCTTCCCAGTCCTGCCTGCTCCTGCCAGCTCTGCCTCATCCAAACTCTCCCCACAGCCCCAAGCATAGCAGCTGTGTCACAGTTCTGAGGGAACAAAGTAGCTTTGGTGCAGTCTCAGCTTCTCCTGGTTCCTGTTCTTGGCCAAGCCAACAGCTGGGAAGGGATTTCCAGGTTCTTGCTGTGTCTGATCTCCTCCTCCTCCTTTGGCTGCAGACCAGCCCTGTCACTCTGCTCTGCTCTTGTTGGATTCCTGCTGGATGCAGTTCATTTCTCCAGCCTTTGACAGAGTCTTGTCCTTCAAAAACTGAAGCTGTGGGTTGTGGCTCTCACCACTTCTGCTCAAAGCTTCACCTTGGAGTTTTGCTGTGTTACTCTGATTTCTTCACTCTTCCTTATCTTGACCTGTCTGACCCTTTTAAATCCCTTTTTTAAAATTTATTTACTGCTTTCTTCAATGACCTCTTGCTCTCCCTGTTCCACCCCTCCGACCCCTTCCCAACAATCTGTTCCCCTCCTTTAGCTTTGGAATCAAATTTTAACAACAACCTTCACATCCAGATGGAATCCATTGTTTTTCTTCCCCATCTTTTTAGACAAAGGCTGGAATACTAAACGTGATTTAAATACAAACACTTTTCCTTTGGCTCCAACACTCGGATTTCTGGTTAACTCAGACAAATATATTGTGATGAAATGCTGCTCTCAGCTTCGAGGCTGCTTTCATCACAGCTCCACAAAACTTCGTTTATACTGCCAGTCTCTTGTGTGTGGGAAATGCCAAGTTTTTTCCTTTTTATTTTCAGTTTATTTTAGTGATGTCTTTTGCTCTTGTTGCTGACAGCAGAATTTGACCTGCTGGAATCTATTTTGGCCTGTATCTTTGTGTATTTTTATATATATATATATATATAAACTTTCTCTACACTAGGCCTCTTTGGGCTTACCCAACGCAGTTGGATAAGCGTGGAGAGACATTCCTGTGCTAGATCCTGTATTCTGTAACGCTTTAGAGCAAGATTTGGCTGCTGTCAGCACTAGCTGCAAAGCAAAACGCAAACCAAGGGGGAAATCTTGGGTTTCAGAAAAGCAGAACCGCATCCATGTTCCATAAACGCTTCCCACGCCGCACCTCGGGTTTCTTTTCTAATTTTTATTGCTCTTCCCCCCCTTTCCCCCCCTCCGTAGCTGATCCAAAGAATGGCACAATTCCTGTACTGCATGTGTCCCTCCCTGCCCTGGGTTGTCCCCACCAGCAGCCAGTGGGTGATGGCATGAAGCAGCCGCCGTGTCCTGGGGAATTAACCACTATTTTGCCACTCTCTCGGCTGTGTCAGCAGCTACAACCTACGTGCAGCGGTTCTCAGAGTGACCCCCAAAAGGGGAGCTTTGCCTCCTTTCCCAGACTTTTCTCCAAGCATAAAAAACTGCTGGTTCCAGCTGAGCTGCCAGCAGGCAGGGCTGTGCTCAGGTAGAAGGGAATCCAAAAAGGATGGGAAGCTGTGTGGATTTTCAAAAGGAAAACCAACAGGAAATCCAAGAAATGAAACAGATTCAGGATGTGGCAGCAACACCACGTTCTGTGAGCAACACCTCACAGGGGGTTGCAGCGTAGGGAAGGAGTAACACCTGTTCAGTGCTTTTTCTCCAAGGTGTGGAAAACTTGAGAACCTCTGATGTAGGTTGTTAGTTTCTGAAGCTTCTCATTCATCCATGGAGTGGTAAAATTCCTCATGCTTTAACAGCTACATTTCCAAACTAACTTTCTTATTTTCCACGGAAAATATTCCCTAACTGGAAGCTGGGCTAAGGGATTGGGAGGAAGTTGCTTTGCAGCTTTGGGGAACAGGGATATATGATAGGTTTTCCTTGGGAAGCTAGGCTGAATCAAAGGGAGGAGCAGCAAAGCTGCTTGACTTCAATCTGCTGTCCCACAAGTATTTTGATTTTAGCAGTTGTTTTTCCATTTCCTGGTAGGTGGATGAGGAATAAAATCAAATTAAAAGCCGGTTAACGAGCTCAGTTCGAAGCTGCATGCGCGCAATCGAGACGAGGCACTAAAGCCTCTTCACAGGAAGTATCCATTGCAGTTTCCTCAGAGTTTTTTGCCAATTGAACACAAGTGTCGTTATCTGAAACCCCTGCTTGAACCCTTGGTCTGCCCCTAATACTGTTCATCATCCTGTTTTGTGTCACAACACCCTGCTACCTTGATTCACTCTTCGTCGTTGGCTAGGTTTTGGATTTATTACTTTCGAGGACGAACAATCAGTGGACCAGGCTGTCAACATGCATTTTCACGACATCATGGGCAAAAAAGTGTGTAGTTGTAGTTTTATTTTACCTTAAGAAAGAACCAAGTCTTGGGCAATGAGCGATTTCACTGGGGAATCCAACTTAATTAATGGGAGAGCTCAGCAGTCCAAATTCAAGGCTTTATCCATGGAGGTGGGGAAAGTCTGAGTTTGCTGGAGAAGGGCAGTTAGGATGGGGGCAGCCTGGGGAAGGGAGGGCGTGGAAGCCTGAGGATTCAGGCTGTGGGCTCTGCTTGGGGTGAGGCCTTGTGTGTACAGACCTGGGGGCTGCTCTGGCTGAGCAGATGAACTGGGATCATCATCACTGGGATGAACTGGTGCTCACCGCCTCTGCTTTGAGCACTGCTGTGGTGCAAGGAGAGAAATCAGTGATTTCCAGCTGTTGGAAAAGCAGAATCCCAGTGAAATCCGAGTTGTTCAAGGCTTGGTTTAAGATACCACTCCTTCAGATGTGTGCTCGATACTCAAATCTCGAGGTGGTGTCAGACAATCTGCTTTATATAATCTTAAACTTTAAAAGAAAAAGGGAGGAAAAAAAAAAACATTCTGAAGGATTGGTTTTTTTAAAAAATTGGGTCACTTACTGTGAAACTTTGATACCAACCCACGTACTCTATATAGTATTTAACCACAATGCAGTTAAGTGACCTCTGGTTGTTTCATCTTCATACTGTGTTGTCAGCAAACGGGGCTTGGATAGGGAGGAATTTTTTAGGCTCCTTTGATGTTACTCAGCAAGGAACATGCTTTTTACCTGTGGAAAAAAACCCCAAAAACACAAACCTAAATGCAAAATAAATTGTTGCAGGACAACCCAAGTTTTATACATAGAGAAAAGCGTAATTTAAAGAAAAATGAACCACAGGAAATTGTGGTAAATTTAAGTCCCTGCACAGCTTTAAGGTATTTCCAGATTTTAAACTAAATGTTAAAACTGCTGAACTTAGAGTGAGGAGGTTCAGGGAGACACAGAAGATTCTCACATTCCTTAAATGACTGCATTGTATGAGTTTTTAATTGTCTTTAAAGTCTCTGATGTGCTGATATTTCATAAGCCTTTCCTTAGCTAGCAGGGGACATGCTCTGCACATCAGTGGAGTTGTGGTTCGTTTCACAGTGTAATAATGCCTTTAATTGCTGTGAACTTGTTTTGGGGTGGAGAGCTGGGTGGTTTCCTGATAATGGGAACAAAAGAATGTCCTTGTGGGATCCAGAACATCAGTTCTTGGCTCCTGATGTGACGCTCCCAGGTGCAGGAAATCACACAGGGGGTGTGTAAGGATCACCTGTATCCCCCAATATTCCCTGATCTGCCCTTGGAATTGCCTTCAGCGAGCCCCTAACGTGGGAGCTGATCCCACAAAACAGCAGATCCATATGGGAACAAAGGATAAACATCCTTGACGTGCTGGGAGAGGATGGAGAGCCCAGTGTGAGCCTCCAAATGCCACCTCATTACTGCTGGCTTTGGGGCCCAGCACTGGGACTCGGAGTGTTCCCCAAACAAACCCAATTCCAAACTGAAAGAATCGATTTTTGCCCTTTCCTCCCCCCTTTCAGTGACAAAAAAAAAACCAAAAAGGCAGCAGGATTCAGGGAGATTTTTAGCTCAGAGTAATAGAGTTGCCTCATTTCTTGGGGTAACCTGGGCTTTAGGCAGGTGTGGAATTTGAACCTCCCTATTGCACAGGGAATTTTCAGTGCTCACATTGGCAATTCCCTGCTTCCAAGTGTGCACTGAAAAATTAATGGGATTCTTCCACAAGGATTAATGAGCTCCAGATCCCCTGCTCTCTCCTTCACTGCCTAATCATGCCTGCTTTAAAAATGGTATTTCTGTCTTTTTGGTAATTAAAAAGGTATTGCTGAAATGAATCCATATGTTGTTGAAAGGGTGGGGAAAAAATTAAAATTGCAAGAAGGCCTCTGCTTTTGTAAGCAATAACCGAATTCCCTCAAGGCAAATGTGTTAAGACTCATTAATTTGAGTCCTTTGAAAAATTCCCTTGGTTCCTCTCTGGAAGGGCCTTGAGCTGACAGAGATTTGGTTACTGTCATGTCTCATGTCCTTGGGGAATTGGCAGGGGGGGTGTGGGGGGCTTTGTCCTTGCCTTGTGCCTGTTTCCTGTTTGTTCTCCAACATGAATGGCTTTTAAGACATGGCACGAAGAATTCTGAATACTTTATTTTCCATACTACTCAGGCCCATTGATGATTGAGATTTATTTTCTTTGTACTCTGGCACCCATTAAAATTAATCATGAAATGAAAAAAAAAAAAAAAAAAAGCCTCGATTTCAGTGAGTGCTGAGAGGGTTTCATTAAATCAGAACTGGATTCTTTTATTTTTTTTTATTTTTTTTTTTTTGAGAGAGGTTTATGTTGAATGTGCAGCTTATTTTAAGTAGGTCAAACGCACTTATTCCATGGCTGGGAACACTAGGACATTTTATCTTGGAATGAAATAAGTTAAGCACTGTGGTTACTAATTTTTAAAACAGGAGGGGTTTTGTGACTGACTTAACACAGTATGAAGATTTGCTTCTTATTGACTCAACTGTCCATTTTTATTACTTGCATGTTTGTTTACTTTTTTGTTAGATGTAATGTAAGATTCTCTTATCACATCCATTCCCTCTGACATTGTTTGAGTTAACTGAGATTCTTTAAGCGTTAGCCTGGGGAAGGTAAGTCTTTATCTTCCATTAGACATTTAAATAAAATCTTAAGTTTAAAAAAAAAAAAAAAAAGACAACAATACAAAAAAAAAATCAAAAAATGTGTGTTTCTCAGGTATGAGCAGAGCTGAAATTGCAGTTAGTTGGGGTGGGTTAAACTGTCACTTCCAAATGGACCCCAAACATGTTTGGTTAAAGCATTAGTACCCTTTTTCAGAGCAGCCTCTTCACTCAAAATTCTGTTTTTTTTAACTGAAAACATCATCTTCATATCTCCTGCCTTGAACATGAAATCAGTCTGTCATTAATGTCCAAGATTCTGCTGTTTTAAGTGCAGAGCTGCTGTAAGAGGGTACTGCTGTTTTAAGATTAAAGCCAACGAGACCGAAGCGATTTGTAGGATGCTTTTCTCGGAATCCCTCGACAGTAGGACTTGTAATGCCTTACCATCACCTACACTGTACCTGAGAAACATTGTAAATTACTGGCCTTAAGTTTTAATAATTAAGTACTTAGACATAAGTCATAAGATGCTAAGTGTAGTCTTAAGTGTAACTGCGGGTGTGTGTGAGGGGCCGGGGGGCGCGGGGCCCCCCCAGCCCCGCTGAGCGCTGCCTCTGTTTGTTTAGGTGGAGGTGAAACGCGCCGAGCCTCGGGATAGCAAGAGCCAAACTCCAGGGCCGCCGGGGGCCAGCCAGTGGGGAAGCAGGATCATGCCAAGCGCTGCCAACGGCTGGGCAGGGCAGCCCCCTCCGACCTGGCAGCAGGGATACGGCCCCCAAGGTACTGCCCGCCCTGCCCACGGTGCTGTCCCCTCCCCGGCCTCTTCAGCTCGCTGCACTTCGCTTCTCTCACCTAGATGTTATTCCCAGGTTTATTTCCCTCAGAGCAGGAATAAATTTCCAGCCTCCCTAGTTTTGGAATTGCCTTCAGTGAGCCCCTAACGTGGGAGCTGATCCCACAAAACAGCCAGATCCATATGGGAACCAAGGATAAACATCCTTGACGTGCTGGGAGAGGATGGAGAGCCCAGTGTGAGCCTCCAAATGCCACCTCATTACTGCTGGCTTTGGGGCCCAGTACTGGGACTCAGAGTGTTCCCCAAACAAACACAATTCCTCTTGGAAAAATAAACCTCTTTCCCTGAGGTTTTTTTCACTGGTTTTCCTTAAAAATGCATTTTGTTGGCAGAAGGTGGTGCCAGGTCTGGCACGTGTCCCAGGTGTGTTTCACCTGTTCCCTTTGGGGCTGCCTCTCCCCACACGGAATCCCCGTGGGTTGGGGGGACTCAGAGAAGGTGTTGGGAAGGTTCCAGGTGTGACTCCAGCTGTGGAGTGAGTTCTGCACAACACCCCAGTGCCAAATTTGCTTGAAATACTGCTTTTCAAGGATGAGGCAGTTTCAAAGGAAGTTATCAGGAAAATCTGAAAGGGATAAGGGGAGAATGGATGCCCTTGCCTTTGAGTTTTATTGCTTAATGTAGCTTGGGAAAGCACCAGGCAGCTCTGGTGCAGGAAGCACTCAGTGCACACCAGGAGCCCTGCGGGGCTCGGGAGCAGCCTGGGTTTGATGGCTGCAACCCCCCACAAGATTCCAGAGGCAGGATAAACACGCTGAGTTCATCCAGAGACAATTTTGATAACTTCTGGAGAAATGCAGAGGGATAATTGAGTTGCTGTGACTTGCTTGCTCTGAGAGATGAGAAATGTTCACCTGGGGGGCTGCAGGGAGCGTGGCTGCTCCATCTCTGCTCCGATGGATGGAAGTGCAGCACAGGGATTGCTCGTTTCCCCACGGTGCTGATTAACTTGAAAGCTGCAGCTGAGGGTTGACATTGTGCACAGATGTGCTAATCTGCAAACTGAGAAACTCCCATTATTTTCCATGCAGTGATTAGTAGGGAAAATGATATGCGATCTCCTGGAAAGATTAATGTCAGACGTGAGAGCATTTATCCTTCAATCTCAGCACTGCACAAGGGATGGGAAAGGCTTTTTTTATGCTTCAAAAACTGCAAAAATAACTTGGATAAACCTGTTAGTAAATTAAGAATCCCTTGGATGTGTAGTCTGCTGGGATTCTCCTGGGTTTTGTTCTCTGTAGTTTCTTGCACTTGGTATGTGGCAGCTCTCGAATGCTCCGTCTGATTTGGGTTTGGGAACTGCTGTCTTTTCTGAGTGTCATTTGCTGAATGATTCAGAGTCTTTCCAGAACTGCACATTCAGAAATAGTCCCACAATCTTGCTTGGGCCATAAAAATAGCTCTGTGAGGGACATGGGGAGGATACCCAGTCTATCCCAGAGCCAAATCCTCCTTCTTGCATCATCCCTGCTCCGGCGTGCGCAGCTTCACTGATGTCTAAGGACCTTTTTTTGTTCTGTTGTAGGGATGTGGGTGCCAGCTGGACAGGCAATTGGTAAGTACATTATATGGGACCAATTCTGAAAGGAAAAAATCCTCCCAAGCACGGGTGCAGCTTCTTTGAGCATTCACAGTGATTTGTGGATTTCTGTAGGATTTAACCTACATTTAAAAGCTTGATTGAATTTGTCCTGGAGGAACGAAGGGGAAGACAGTGGATTCTTAGCAGCTCAGTAATGGGAGCTGACACACATCCTGCTGCTCCAGCCACATTAATTTGTTACCAAGGGATTACATGCTAAACTGCAATTATTTACAGTGGGGATACTTGGAGGACAAATATTTCCCAAAGTGAGGATTCATAGAAGGCTGAACCTGCGTTTGAAATCCACCAACAGCCTTACCCCACCTAGAGGAAGCTGACTCCAGCAGCAGCTCCTTGGTATTCTTCTGCTTCAGTTTTTGGGTTTCTCTTCTTTTCCAGGTGGATATGGACCCCCTCCTCCAGGCAGAGGAGCTCCTCCCCCACCACCACCATTTACCTCATACATTGTCTCCACACCTCCCGGGGGATTCCCGCCTCCACAAGGATTTCCACAGGGCTATGGCACCCCTCCACCATTTAGTAAGTGACCTCCAGGGGCTGGAGCACATCCAGCTCCAAATTCAGCTTTTCCTCATCGTTTGCTGGACTTGGATTTGCTCCTGTGTTTCACCTATCTTTAATTATTTTTCCCAGATTGTATATTCTGAGCTAAAATTAACTATAGCATTTAATCTTTCTTGGATTATTTTATTCTTGGATGCTGTAATCATTTCTATTCTCTAGTTTAAATCTGTGTTGCTAAATGAATTTAGATACATTGTGCAGTTTTGTTAGGACATCTGAGAGAAAACTTAGAGCTCACTGCTGGTGATCTGGGCCAAACACAGGCAGGGTTTTTGGAGGAGCTTAAGGAATTAGGGTTGTAACTGGGGCTGGAAATACAAATAGGATTTTTAGCACCTACCTCTCAGGCCAACTTTTCAAAAGCCTGTCACAAACCTAATTTAAAGAAGAAGGTGGAAAATAGCATCCAGTTATTTCAAGATGCTTTTTCCTCTTAAAGTCTTGGATAATACAACTTCCTCCTCATTTCTCATGTTTGTGAGCACAGAGTTTGGTCCCCAGTTTATCCCTTTCTCTGTGCTGGCTGCTGCAGCCTATGGCTTTGTGGGGACATTTCTCCCACCTGTGCCAGGTGAGATCTTTGAGCCATGGGGGTGACCAAAGTGTCGAGGTGAATCTCTGTGCAGCCACTGGTCACAAACACCTGGGGTTTCATGGCCTTAGAATTGTTGGTTTGAAATTGTATCATCTCTAAAGGCAAGCAGGACATTGATGTTCATCTGTTGTGTCCTTGCAGGTTTTGGTTATGGTGCTCCACCTCCTCCACCTGACCAGTTTGCCCCCCCTGGAGTCCCCCCTCCACCTGCCACTCCAGGGGCAGCACCACTCGCTTTTCCTCCACCACCACCACCATCTCAGGCAACTCAGGACATGAGCAAACCCCCAACTGCTCAGCCAGAATTCCCTTATAGTCAGTTTGGTGAGTAACTGCTGGCATTTGTCCCCTTTCCCTTCAGTCCTAAGTGTTGGACACAGTTTGCTGCAGGCACTTCTCCTAGACAGGAATGCTCCCACCAGCTCAAGCCATCCTTAAATCATGCAATATTCTAGCCAGAGGGAATTTTCTTAGCTCTAAAGTGTTGCTTTTGTGCTGGAAAATAACCTTCAGGGATTTGTGCACTGCCAGGATGAATTCCTGGTTTCCACTCTTCCCCAAATCTGTAGCTAAAACTTTCCACTCCAAGAGCTTCACAGAGCTTGTAGTGAGCTTTTCTTCGTGTCTCCAGAGCTTGGAGAACAGACTTGAAGAGTAAGAGCAGCATGGAGAGACGGGCAGTGCATGTGTAAGGATCCAAACTGCTGCCTTTTCCTCCCTTTTTTCCTCCCATTTTCCATCCCTTCCCCATTTCTCCCAAGGTGCAGTTCTGTGCAAAGCTTTTTTTGTGCTCTGTAGGTAACTTTGAGGTAGGAGGCACTGAGCTAACAAGTTTTAAACCAGGCAGGCAGTGCTACAAAAAACAAATTCTTTTTAAAATTGCTAGACAAGTGCCTGTGCACCAGAGTAAAATTGCTGCTGCTCCCTGAGGGAGCTCAGAGGGAATTCTCATTCTCATCTTGCTCTTCTCAGCCCTGTTTTTCAGCTGTGCTCTCTAAATATCTTTGCAGAGATCTCTCCAAAGAGCTCTGTACTAATGTTGTTTTTAAGGGATTGTAATTGGTCAGTTTTTACTTCTGAAGGGAATTTATTATGCAGCAGCCCCGTGGATTCAGGCTGTTTTCTGCTGGAACACGTTCTCCATGTGGTAGTGCTGTCTCAAGTTCCTGCAGAAACTGCTATGAAATGAAAACTTCACAAAATTTATTTGAATAGGTATTATTCAAAGTTGCAGCACTGTAAAGTGCAGCCTCTGAAGGAAGATGAGCCTTTGAGATGTGTTTATTAAGCAGCATGGTCTCATGTTGATGAGTTCGAAATGTTTCTTCATTTGTTTCTTACAAACACAGTTGATTTCATGGATAGTTTTACCCTTGTGACTCGAGGAAGTTTTTCTTGTTCTGCCAGAACTTGGCTCTTTGCAGACTCTTTTTGGAGTGGGTTGGACCCTTCTAAATAAAGCACAAATCCCTGCAGAGCCAGTTACAGTCAGTGAGGAGCCAGAGTTTGGGAGGTGTTGGAAGTTTAGGAAGGATCTGATGGAGAAGGACTCTTCATCTGGAGCTGTAGTGGCAGGACAATGGGAATGGCTTTGATCTGGAAAAGAATAGATTTAGACTGGATATTAGGAAAAACTTCCTCTCTTTGAGGGTGTTAAAACCCTGGCACAGGTTTCCCAGAGAAGCTGTGTCTGCCCCATCTCTGGAAATGTCCCTTATTTGCATATATTTACATAAATGTGTAAAACGTGTGGGCTTTAAAAAGACAGAGTTCCCTAATGAGTGTAAGGCACTGTAAGGTTTATGCTGGGCAGTGTCCTAAATCCTTCCGTGTGTGCACCCAGGATGAGTGTCAGCACTAATGCTCACCCTGCAAAATCAAATTAATTAATTACATTCATTTAAAATAATTAAAAATTCATTATCTCCGTGCAGGGCGCTCTTGAGGCTCGTCCTTGCAGTCCCCTCAGTTCTCACTGGGATGGGTTTGTCTGCTCCAAACCTTTCAGGCCACACCCGAAGCTTTGTCTGCCCTCCCAAGGTCAGGCTGAGCAGGGAGGAGGAGCCTCAGGCAGGTCCTGGGAAAGTTCCCTGGTGTTCCTTGCCGGGGCTGCTGGAGAGGGTGAGAGGCAGGGATGGTGCTCAGGTGTTGGGGTTTTGTGTCAGGGCTGTGCTTCCAGCTGGGTGAAACCCCACAGCGAGCTGTGCCTGCCGCTGCTCACTCCCTGCTGATGGATGCAGGCTTGGCTTTGGAGCCAGCCACTCAAACCACACAACCTGCACAGCCCAGGGGAGCAGCTGGGCTGGAGCAGAGCCAGAGAGGGAGAGCAGCAGCCAAGGCACTGAGTGTGGCTGTGTGCTGTGGGTTTCCTTCATCACAAACAACCTGAGCCCCGTGCTGTGGGGCTCACACACTCCGGTGTGCGGGGAGAGCAACTCCAGGCTTGTGTTTTTCCACTCCCAGCCTCACCCCTTGGCAAACAATCCCGTTGTAGTTTTGGGTGCCTGCTTATCTGTGTCTGAACAAGTGCCAGGAGGAGGATTTGGAGCTCCCAGAGCCTGAGCTCGCTGTGTTTTAGTGCTCATTAGTGCCAGCAAGTCCTGAGGGACAGGCAGAGCTGGAAACTGAACTGCTGAAGACATGCTAAGAGACTTTGTTTGGGATTAAGAGAGTTAAACCTGCTCTAAGCCTGCAGAGAGAGAGAGGCAGCACTGCAGAAATGCTCTAGGTAATTAGGAGCCTTAATAGCATCTTTCAGAGCTGGGGCTGGCGCTGATGCCAGGATTAAGAGTCATATTTAATTATGAGAATTTGAATTAAATTTCTCAATTTCTCAGTTGTCTTAATTTACGTGTAGTTGTAAATTTTGTATTGGTAGCAGGAATTCCAGCCAGACTTTTCTTGTGGAAAGAAAATGCCTGTTTTTCTCCCTGTCTCTAAATTCTGCTCATTCCAGAGAGGTCTGTGGTGCAGATTCCAATATTTATGTGTGATTTGAAAGGGAATTTTAGGATTGTCTGTTCAGTGCAGGAAGGTTTTTCATTGTCCAGGTGATGAAGCTGAGTGTGCAAAGCCAAAAATCTCATAACTGCACCCTCAATCTGGGAGGTTTCAGGGAAAATTTCCCAGCTCCATCTCTTACCTGCCCTGGATCTGACCGCTTTTAGCCAATAAAAAACCCAACCCAAAATCAAAGTGCTCCCAAGCACTCCCTGTGAGCCACACCAATCCTGTGAGCAGATGGTTGAGCTGCCAGCCCAAACACAGCTCCCCCTCCCTGCACACCTGTTCCCTTCTGCTTTTTGCCATTTCCTGTGTGAGGAAGGAGAATTCCTGCAGGACCCCAGAGCTGCTGCTCCTCCCAGGTGATGTTGCAGGGTGTGCTCCTGGGAGGGAGCGGTGCCAGCTGTGGGATCCTGCTCCTGGAGCCTCATCCTGTGCCTTTCCCTTCTCCCCAGGGTATGGACAAGACTTGAGTGGGTTTGGACAAGGTTTCTCTGATCCCAGCCAGCAGCCCCCTCCCTACGGAGGCCCCTCTGTGCAGCCATCCAGCGGCCCCCCAGCCGGAGGCAGCGGCTTCGGCCGGGGACAGAACCACAATGTGCAAGGATTCCATCCCTACCGGCGCTAGCCTGGGCTGGCAATCAGGGAGTGCTGTCCACAGGGATCTCTGGGCCCAGCTGAACCCCGGGATCCCAGACTTCTGAACTTGTGACAATCACATTACTTGATGGAAGAAAAACCTAACAACAATTTTTTCGTGGGGGGGTGGGGGCAGATGGCTTCTGAAGGCAGAGCTGTGGGTGTTTGGACTGCAGTTTTTAAAGATTTTCCTTTCTCTAACCCATCAGCACAAATAAAGAAAATGTCACTGGTTCAAATTACAGGGTTTTAAAAATGTCTTCAGCTTTAATTCAAAACTTCAGGTTTCTTTTTTTTGAAATTATTTTTCCTGAGCCTTTGTTTTACCGTATATTGTAAACTTTTATGTTTAAAAGAAAAAAAAATATATACATTTACAGATTGTGAAATTTTTAAGAGAAATTTTCTACTATGTATGCTGGCTTATTTTTTAATTTAAAACAGGGTTTCCATGAGCGCTGTCGGAGGCGGGGGAAGAGCTGCAGCCCCTTCCTCCCTCCCCACGGCAGCGCTTGGGGCGGAGGGTTCCGAAACTCTGGGAGTTGACAGAAACCTGCTGAGTGTATTTTGCTGTTTGTTCTGGGGGGCAGAGCTGGGCCGGGGCAGGCACAGGAGCTGCGGACGCACAGAGGCACTCGGGGAGCGCTGGCTCCGGGCTCCACGCTTCCCTCGCTCCGCCGCGGGGCTCCGGAGGCCTTGGCGAGATGTGGATTTCCCTCAGGCAAAAAGGTTTTGGTGCGTTTGGCACTGAGCAGTGCTGAGCCCTGGTTTGAATAAAGACAAGAACCTTTGGATTAGAAACACCAGCCTGTCTCCATTTTTCTGGGTTTTTTTTGGTTTTTTGGCTTTTGTGAGTGTGGGTTTGCTGGAGGAGTCCCTTGGCAGCCCTGGGAGTCCTCGGGGGCTGCTCTGCTGGGTCTGTGTGGTGTCACCAGTGTGCCCTGTGCCCGCCCCACCGGGTGGCACTGCCAGGGAGCCACTCCTGGATGGGATCTGAGCTGGGGAAGGATCCTCCAGCCAGGAAGGATCCTCCAGCTGGGGAAGGATCCAGAGCCAGCCCGGTGAAGAGCTTGGATCCAACCTCATGTGCCGAAGGGCTCAGACTTGGATTGGGTCCTCCAGCCTGGATTGGATCCCTCCTGGCACTGGGCTCCCACCTGGACTAGACCATCCCAGTGAAGGGCTGGGGCTTGCAGTGGATCCAACCAGCCTGGACAGGATCCATCCTGGTAAAGGGCTTTGTTCTGATGTGCTGAATGGCTCTGATGTGGATCCAATCTGACCTGCTCCAGGGCTCCTAAAACCCTTGGCCTGGCCCCACGCTGGGTCACACCTGATAGTGACAGTGACACAAATGCTGCTGTTCATCCTTCACCTTGAGGCACTGCAAGAAATTGGGTAATTTATGAAATTTATTCAGTGGATATCAATGTCTGTAACTGCCTCACATCTTGTGGAAGATCACCGCTGGGTTTGGCTCTGAACTGTTGGGCTAAGCTGAGGGAAAGGATCTCCCCGAGGTCACAGTGTCCCTTGGCTGAAGGGCAGCCCCAAATCCTGCCCATGGATCCTTCACCGGGGGCTGTCTGTGCTCCTGAGCCCGTCTGGTGTAATTAATCACTGTTAATGAGGTGGATTTGGGGATGGGTTGGGATGTGGAGCTCGCTGGGTCGCTCCTGGCAGGACTCGCATCAGTTCAGAGGGTATTTTGTATTTTGTGTGGATCTGGTTCCACTCACTGTGAATCGTCTGGGCTCCAATCTTCGTGGCGCTCCAAGCTCGGAATTCCTGCTGGAACAGGAGCTGCTCCAGCGATGTTCTGACACCAACTCCACTCCCTCAGGAGTGTGGAACACCGCGGAAACGGCACAGCACCTCCCTGGAGCCTGGAGAACACCCAGCGGCTTTACCTTCTCCTGGGATAAAAGCGTTCGGATTTGGATCCCGACTGCGCTGAACCAGCTCTTCCAGGCCCGTTAGATCTGGAACCGGATCAACCTGTGCCGAACGAGCCGGTTCTGCCCTGCCCCGAGCCGCAGAGCCGCTGCCTCCCGTGGGAAGATGAAGGGTCAGGGTGAAAGACGAAGGTGGCCCCACACAGGTGCGGGATGCTCGGGCCCGGGCTGGCTGTGGGGTCCGGGCCGTCCCTGAGCCGCTGCCGTGCGGGTTCCACCCTGGGACAGGGGAAAGGGGTGGGTTTATTGGAACCTGAGGTTTCCCCTGGATCACGAGGGGCAGGTTCAGGGGGCAAGAGGAGGCTCCGTCCCTCACAGGTGTCCCCGCGGTGTCCCCGCGGTGTCCCTGAGGGCGGCTGCGGCCCCTTTAAGGGCAGTGAGGGCGGAAGCGCTGCTCGGGCGCGGCTTCTCCGCCCGTTCCTCCCGCGCCGCTCTCGCGAGATTCGCCGCTTCCG